CTTGGTCCACATACTGCTGAAGCCTACGTTGTAGGATTTTGAGCATAACATTGCTAGTGTGTGAAATGAGTGCAATTGTTCAGTAGTTGGAGCATTCTTTGGCACTGCCCTTCTTTGGGATTGGGATGTAGACTGCTCTTTTCCAATCCTCTGGCCACTGCTGAGTTTTCCACACTTGCTGGCATACTGAGTAGCACCTTAACAATATCATATTTTAAGATTTTAAATAGTTCGACTGGAATGCCATCACCTCCACTGGCCTTGCTGTTAGCCATGCTTTCTGAGGCCCACTTGACTTCACTCTCCAGGATGTCTGGCTTACGGCCAGCAGCCACACTGTCTGTGTTGTCCGGGACATCCAAATCTTTCCGGTATAGTTCCTCTGTATATTCTTGCCACCTCTTCTTGATGTCTTCTGCTTCTGTGAGGTCCCTACCATTTTTGTCCTTTATCATGTCCATCTTTGCACAAAATGTCCCTTTAATATCTCCAATTTTCTTGAACAGATCTCTAGTTTTTCCCTTAGTTCTTCAGGCACTCTGTCCGCCATATCTAGTTCCTTAAATCTGTTCTTCACTTCCACTGTGTATTCATAAGGTATGTGGTTTAGCTTAGACCTGACTAGCTGAGTGGTTTTTCCTACTTTCTTCAGTTTAAACTCGAGTTTTGCTATATGAAGCTGATGATCAGAGCCACAATCACCTACAGGTCTTGTTTTTGCTGACTGTATACAGCTTCTTCATCTTTGGCTGCAGAGAACATAATAAATCTGATTTCAGTATTGCCCATGTGGTGATGTCCATGTGTAGAGTCACCCCTTGTGTTGTTGGAGAAGAGTGTTTGTGATGACCAGCTTGTTCTTTTGAGAAAACTATTAGCCTTTGCCCTGCTTCATTTTGAAAATGTGTCTCATTGTTCTGTGAAAAGAAAAGTAAAACCTGCAGCATAAAAAAAGAAACACACAAACTTAGCAAGACTTCCGTGGTTGCATATCCAAAAAAACTAATTATGAACTTTAAATAGTTGCATCACCCAGCAGTTCTGAAGTACTAGAGGAAAAGAGTGTTATGTTTATAAATGTCCTATAAAAAGTTAGTTTATACAAATAAGATGGATATGCTGTTAAAATTGAGATAGTGGACTTTGCTACTTAACTGGTATGTATTTTGTAATGCATTCATTTTGCTCCGGAAGTCTGTACTTGGTCTAACTAAGATTTTTAGCAGATTTTATTTTAGTGTCATCTATGAGGAAAATGTACTTTTGCATATATTTAATAACTTCATTTATTCTCTTTTTTTATGTATTTGATTTTTATCTCAACTTTCTCCCATAAATGGACCTCATTACATTTATAAGTCTGTACATTTAACTTTACTAGTTTTAGTTCTGTTTTATTGCTGTATGGAACTACTGTATGTAGGTTTCAACATGGAAACGTTAGACATTCTTGACAGTAGAGGCAGCTCTCCTTAACTTTTCCAAGACTGGAAATCTGTTGTCTTCTATCCTGCAGGCATGTTCCACCCAGGTTCATCTCACTGCTATAAAAATCAGTAGAAAGACTGCTTAGTTTTTCTACTTTGGTTACAATCCTGTTCATGTAATTTATGATGCATAACTGTCATCAGCCTGAACGATTTCACTGAAATTAAATATTTCTTACTCCCGTATAATCCCTTTAATCATTGGGAAACTTGGGAGCACATGACTGGAGGAAGTTATTAATTACTTTATTGGTGGTTGCAATTTCAGGAAATAGTTTAATTTCCAAAAAAAAAAAAAAAATTGTCCCAGCTCACAATATCAGCCATAGATGGCATAAACTGTGCAAACAGGATTTCAGGATATCTTTTTATTTGTTGTTAATAATACCTTGTGTCTCTTGCTGGTTGCCTGGGTATCGACAGTGACAGGCAAGTACGCTGTATCCCAAATTACTCCTATAAGTGGTTTCTAGTTCTTATTTACATTATTTTAAAACATATTCCCAACAGAGTATTTTATTATGTATCTTGAAGTCAAATGATCATTCAGAATCACAAATTGGACAAGCAAATGAACTACTCTCTCAAAGATTAGTCCCATTTGCAATGAATGGGGAGGGAGTAAGAATGAGATAAGCTGTACCATAGCTTTTGGGACTGGAACTCTGATAACATGAAATTTTATCATGATAACATGAAATGTTATCAGAAATTTTATCAGGCCATTGATGCATGCTGATTTTTCTTTTAAAAAAGCGTTTCTAGTTTTGATTAATTGGCTTACTAGTGTTTACACTATGTACATGCTTGAACTGGTACGTATGTTAAATGTTGCAGTTCTTTATGCTGCATTAGCATAAAAATTCTATTTCATCACATAGACCTAAATTTTCTTGCCTTTTTTAAAATATAAAAATGGAAGAACCTCATGTAAAAATTGCCAGGTTGTTTTATGTATTTCCAGATGGGGAAGTACTTGACTTATTCCTCTTATGCAGCTGTTAGAGGAACATTAAATGCATAAGAGAAAGACATTGTGCACCTTTCCATATATGTGACAAATCTATGCCTGTAGCTAGATCCAGAAGACCTCTCATTACCATTCAGACACAAATATCTTTGCTTTATTTAACAATACTTACAGATCATTATAATTTGAATTGTGTGCATAATTAGACATAAATGGAATTTAACTTCTGTGAGGACATATAATACGGTACTGTATAACAATTCCATGCTGTCAGGTTGATTCCAGCTTATAGCAACCCTTTCCAATGTTTTCTAGGTAAAGAATACTCAGAAATGATTTTCCATTCCCTACTTCTGAGAGCATCCTGGGATTGTGCAGTTTGCCATGGCTACACAGGTTGGCTGTTCTAGGAGGTATAGTGGGGAATCAAACTCCCAGCCTGTGGCTCCATAGCAAGATAACTAAACCACTGAGCTGTCCAGCCAGCTAAACAACATATTCAGAAAGCATATTCCTAAGGCTCATGCCATTTCCAGCCTATAACAACAAACCATGATTTATTGTTATATCAGAACCAGGCCAGTATAAATCTAATAGCGTAACAAAAATATGAGAACATATAGAGATCATATGTATACTATACTGTATACTGGCCTGATTCTGATGTAACAATAAATTATAGTTTGTTATTATGGACAATAGGTGGCATGAGCCTTAGGGTGTGATTAGATGGCAGGAAAGACACATGTCCAATCACATTGGAAAGGGTTGCTTTGCTGAAAGCGATCTCCCTTAAAGTGACCCTTCTATCTGAAGAAATTGCTTCAGCCTGGCCCCAAAAGTAGCCCTGCTGCTGGATTGAAAAGTGACAGTTTGGAAATGGATTCGGATAAGGCTGGAGTGCAGTACGTTGTATGTCAGTAGTGTATTAAAGCTTTCATTTCTGATTTATGTTAAAGCACAGTTTTCTCTTTTTTTCCTACAGTGGTGCCTCGCTTAATGACGATAATCCGTTCCAGGAAAATTGCCATTAAGCAAAAACATCGTAAAACGAAAATAAAAATCCCACTGAAACGCATTAAAACCTGTTCAGTGTGTTCCAGTGGGGTAAAACCTCACCGTCCAGCGAAGATCCTCCATACCAGTGGTTCTTAACCTTGGGTTACTCAGGAGTTTTGGACTGCAACTCCCAGAAGCCTTCACCACCAGCTGTCCTGACTGGGGTTTCTGGGAGTTGCAGTTCAAAAGCATCCGAGTAACAAAGGTTAAGAACCACTGCTCCATACGACGGCTATTTTCGCTGCCTTTATAGCGAGGAATCTGTCCCTAAACACAGCAGGGAGCCATTTTAAGCACCCGGCAGCCATTTTGAAACTGCCAATCAGCTGTTTAAAAAAACATCATTTTGTGAAGAATCGGTTCCCGAAGCAGGGAACTGATCATCGCAAAGCAAAAAAACCCTATTTAGATCATCATTTTGCGATAGTAATTGCGATCGCAAAAAGATTGTCGAACAGCGATTTTGTCATAATGTGGGGCAATCGTTAAGCGAGGCGCCACTGTATATGGAAGAGAGTGACTTGTATAAGCATGTGCACTCTGCCCCCCTGCAGGCATGCCACACCCCCGCAAGAGTGCCACGCCCCCCCAACCAGTCCACAGTTGGGAAAAGGTTAGGGACCACTGCTGTATGGTATTAACAATTCACACCTAGATAATATTCCAGGATCTTGACTTGCTATTTTGCTAAAACTGGCTTTTAGCAGCCATATCATGTGCAGTTCAGATGAAACAGGAAACTTGTTGAGAATAAACAAGAATTGGTCCTTCTTCACAAGTGAGTTTTAGTTTTGTAACAATTTATCCTTGTAAGATCAAACGATGTTTGTTGTTGTATTGGAAGTGAGCCTCTGAGTCGTCATATCTTTTTTTCTGACTGGTCTAACATTGATCCAAGAGAACCATGGAGTTGAAATAGAAAAGGGTGTCTGATTGTGTGAGTGAATTTTGTTCACAGTGTATTTTGATTTCTCTCTCTCTCTCCCTCCTGCTACTCTTATTTAACAGATTTGTCTTGACTAGATTTAGTCTCATCACGCTCACTGCAAATGTTCATTTATACTTCATAACTCTGGATTGTTAATGTTAGAAGCAAAACCACAGAAAAGTACTTAGAGTGCATGAGTTTTCATGTTCAGGGCTGTTGTTCTGCAGTGTTCACTAGTGCTGTAATTATAGACATGTTGTATTGTTTACTGTAAGCAGTGCTTGTGTGTATAAATATAGACTAATATAACTGAATTGATATCCAGCTTGGCATATGTCCAATATAATAAACTATTGATGGACTCAGGTTATGTAGAAGAGCATTTTTAGCTTTAACATAATTTTTCTTCACATATATGCAAGTTGGGGGTCTGGATGAAACAGAATGTATTCCATTTTAGAATATTTCCTTCTCTTATTTAGTGCTTCAGTCTGCATACCATATAAAAATTAGACAATTACTTTTGTTTCAATAGTGATTTTGTTTCTGTTTTCAGGTTAGCACTATATGTATATGAATATCTGCTCCATGTAGGAGCACAGAAATCTGCGCAGACATTTTTATCAGAGGTACGTTTCCTATGATTTTTATGTCTTTCAACATTGTAGATACCCATGTTTACACATGTTAAAAAGGAGTTAAGTTTATATTTCAAACAATAATGATGGGAATTACCAACCATTACTTGTTCCATAACATGAAATTGCTATACAGTGATGCCCCGCAAGACAAAATTAATTCGTTCCGCGAGTCGTATCGTATTGCGAAAATTTGTCTTGCGAAATACGGTACTACCGTTTGTGCGATTTAAAACAAAAAAAAGGGGGGATTCATTTTTTGAAGCATGGCCATAGAAAAATTCATATTGCGAGTCACAAAAAAATCGCAAAACGCTTTCATCTTGCGAGTTTTTTGTTGCGTGAGGCATTTGTCTTGCGATGCATCACTGTATCGTCAACGTTTCTATGCTGATGTGGTATGATGGATAGTGTTGAACTGGGATTCAGGAGACCCAGGTTCAGATCTCTACTCAATCATGGAATATCACAGGGGAGGGGGATATTAGTAAACCACTCCTTGAACATCTCATATACCTTAGAAACCATGTTACGGCTGGCAGAAACGTCTTGATGACCTTTTTTTTAAAAGCTGATGGACAGGGACAAAAGGAATTGCATATTATAGCAGCCACAGTATTTTTCTACAACTTTTTATTGTAGTTGCTAGTTTGTGCTTCCTTTCTTGGGTCACGTCTCATTCTGTAGAGTCAAGTTATACTTGTTACGTGTGGTTATATAAAAGTAACTCAAGCATAATGTACTCACAAATTATGAAACAAATAAACTATAGTGGTTCCTTGACTTACAAATGTCCCGACATATGACCATTTAGAGTTACGACCAGCTCCGGCCACAAAATTTTACTTCTACTTGCGACCGGAGCTTCGAGTTACAACCAGAAAAAGGCAAGGGAAAAAGGCAGGGAATTCAAATTGCTAATTGGTGGCGAAGAGGCTGCTTCTTTGTAGATCTTTCACCCCAGCAGTTAGAGAGTGTGCGGCCAGAGGCGGCTTCAGACTGCCTGGTAATGTGCTGCTTTCTCCTTTTTAAAAACTGTTCTGGGTGGGTTTTGCAGCGTGGGTTTTGGCTGGGTGGTGGGATTATGTTTCTATGCTGTGATGGGTCTTGAAGGGTTTGCTTGTTTTTTGGGTTTTTTTCCCCATTTCCAATGGGTCTTGCAGGGTTTTTTTGTTTTTTGGTCATTCCCCCCCCCCATTTCCAATTGGTCTTGCAGGGTTTGTTTGCTTGTTGAGTTTTTTTCCCCCCATTTCCGAAAGATCTTGCATGGTTTGTTTGCTTTCTGTTTTGCTTTTTTTTTGCATTTCTGAAGGGTCTTGCATGGTTTGTTTGCTTTCTGCTTTGCTTTTTTTGCATTTCCGAAGGGTCTTGCATGGTTTATTTGCTTTTTGCTTTGCTTTTTTTGCATTTCCGAAGGGTCTTGCATAGTTTGTTTGCTTTCTGCTTTGCATTTTTTGCATTTCCAAAAGGTCTTGCACTGTTTGTTTGCTTTTCTTCCCCCCCCCTTCAGCTGTAATGGATTAATCACGTTTCTGATGGGTCTTGCAGTGCTGTAGTTTTTTGTCTGATTTTTTTTCCTTCGGTTGGAATGGATTAATTGCATTTCAGTGCATTCCTATGAGAAATGGTGCTTCAACTTACGACCATTTCGAGTTATGACTGGAGTTCCAGAACCAATTAAGTTTGTAAGTCGAGGCACCACTGTAATTATTATAATAAAATTAGTAGATAGGCTTTTAAGAAGAGAGACATGTTGACTTTTCTCATTTTATATTGGAGGTAGGCAGCTTCCCAGAGGTCTGAGGCCTGTATCCTCCCCCCCTTTGACTTTTTCTCCAGATGAACAATTGCACCATCTGGTAGGGTGGCCGGCCATTTCCTTATATCTCCCACCGATAATCTGATTTAGACATTTTGGAAAAAGCCATCCCTCAGCGCATAAAATCCCCATTGCCCAGAGTAATCAAACACTTGTTAGTATATCTCCAGTATTATCTGATGTCATAAAGGCTCTCCCCACTCTCAGAATAGGTGTCACTTGCATTGGGGAGTGGTACAACTTTTGTATATGTCTGTCTTTCAGTATAATCTGAGAAAAATCCCCATAGTGGTTAGGTCCCCATAGTGTTTAGGTATGAATGTGTTCTTGAGAATAAACATAAACTAAGAAAAATGTTTTTTGTAAGGGGAAGACATATTGTGTACGCCTTTAAAAAAATGAAGTTGTTATTTGAAGTAGAACACAAGACTACTTCACAACAATGCCAGAAAAGAAACCAAACAAACTTGTAGAAAAGCAAAGGCAGGTGATATCTTTATTAATAGTACAGTAATTGTATGCTGTCAAGTCACAGAATTATTATTAATAAACATACCTGACTTGTGATGACTCCTTTCAGGATTTCTCAAGTAATGAGTACTCAGGAATGGTTTACTATTCCCTTCTTTTTGGGTTACCCTTGAACTATATAGCTTGCCCAAGGCCACACAAACTGGCTTTTGTGGGTTACACAGTGGGGAACTGAACTCCCACACTCTGGCTCTGCAGCCAGATACATACTGTATTTTTCCATGCATAAGACTATACTTTTGTCTAAAATCTTTTGACTAAAATCTTTTGACCCTAAAATTTGAGGGTCGTCTTATACATGGAAGTAAGCTGAGGAGGGAAAAAAAACAAGACTGGAGGGGAAAGCAGGGATCAAAGTGATCCTGCAGGGCTTTGATCCCTGTTTTCCCCTCCACTTGTTAAGCTTTAGCAAAAGGAAAGCAGGGATCAAAGTGCTGCAGGGTGGCTTTGATCCTTGCTTTCCCCTCTGCTTACTAAGTCTCATGGGGCTTAGCAAAGGCAGAGAGAAAGGCTCAAAGCAATCCCATGGCTGTATAAGGGGGAAAGGGATCAAAACGATCATGCATTCGTGGGATAGCTTTGATCCCTTTCCGCCTCCTTTTAGTAAGCCCCGCGGGGCTTAGCATGAAGGGAGAATGCAGAGATCAAAGTGATCCTGCAGTGCTCATTAATAATGCTCCAAGGCTCTGGCACTCCCTCCCACAGGAGGCCAGGCTGCCCCTCTTTTTGCTGTCCTTCTTGTGAACAAGCAGGCAAAGACCTTTCTCTTCAGGCAGACTTTTCCTTAGCGACTGACTGTCTAGGAGACAATAAACAGGGTGATTTATATTTTGTTGCTAGAGACCTTGATTCTTCCTTCCTTTAATTCATTTGTTCATTCATTGCATTTATATTCTGCTTTTCTCCCAGTGAAGTGACTCTGTTCTAATATGAATTGCTGGATAGCTCAGTGGCTTAGGCATCTGATTAGGAGTTTGATTCCCCACTGCGCCTCCTTGGATTTGATGATCCATAGGATCCCTTCCAGCTCTACAGTTCTAAGATGATGATGACAATTTTTAGTTTTTAATACTGTGTTTTTAATTATGTAAGCTGCCTTGGGTCCTTTTTAGGAGAAAGGCAGGTTAAAAATATTTTAAATAAATAAATAAAAGAGAGATTATACAAATTAGGCCTTGTCATAAGGCAGAATGAGGCAGCTGCTTCGGGCAGTAGATGCCAGCAGGAACTGGTAACAAGAGGTTGAAGGATTGAGCTTTTTGTACGTGAAACAGTACTGGTGTGACTTTTTGCCTTAGGTGACAAAATAACATGAGTGAGACCTGGGAGTAAAAGACATACAGTGGTGCCCCGCATAGCGACAATAATCCGTGCAGCCAAAATCGTCGCTATACGGATTTGCTATGTGAAATAAAAAAGCCCATAGGAATGCATTAAAACCCGTTTAATGCGTTCCTATGGGCAAAAAACTCACCTTTATGCGAAAATCCTCCATACGGCCGCCATTTTCGCTGCCCAGTAAGCGAGGAATCTGGGCGAAAACACAGCGGGCAGCCATTTTTTTTTACCCGGTGGCCATTTTGGAACCACCGATCAGCTGTTGGGAAATCATGTTATGTGAAAATCGGTAAACGAACAGCTTACCAATCATCACAAAGCAATTTTTTCCCATTAGAAACATCGCAATGCGATCGCAAAAACGATCGCAAAAAATTCATCGCTATGCGGACTCGCCGTTAAACGGGGCGCCCATTAAGCGAGGCACCGCTCTATTTAGCATTGATTTTAGGTAGGTGCTATGAACCTTTGTACATAGGTATCTTATGAATTCCCCTGAATTACATACAGCAAAGAATTTGTAGCACGTCCACAAATTACAAATCACAGAATTCTACAGGATAGAGTGATGACAGCTGTAACTCTGTAATTCAGTTACACTGTGGTTAGCTGTCATGGCTCTCTTACAACAGATTGCTAGGTTAGATTAACCTTTTGATCTAATCTAATAGAGTTCATTTCTTGTTCTTATAATCTGAACTAATTAAAGTCTCCTAGTAATGCAGACCTGGGCAAAGTGCAGCCCGAGGGCCACATATGGCCCGCGAGCCGCTCCTGTCCGGCCCGCAGACAGTTTTGGACATCAAAACCATTTATAGCCTTTTGTCTAAAGTTGATCCGTTGCTTATCTTTAACATACCACAAAAAGCTTATTTAGTATTTGTGAACAAGTTTAAAATGAAAACAATCATAACATCACTGTTTCATTTTATTTTTAAGTAAAGTTAGTTGGGCCCCCGAATACAGTTCAGATTTTTCATGTGGCCCCCTTATAGAAATTAATTGCCCACCCCTGTAGTAATGCAACAGGAAGAAATTCTGAGAAAGACTAACAGATATTATTGTAGATTCTTTCGGAATTTTTGCAGATTTTAATATTGTTTACCTAGATGAGTAAAATGCCTTAACTTTATTTATGCTTATTTTAGATAAGATGGGAAAAAAACATCACATTGGGTGAACCCCCTGGATTTTTACACTCTTGGTGGTGGTAAGTGTTCCCTGATTTCAAAGATATTTGTTTTACTTCTTATTATAATGTTAAGCCTGTTAAAACATCTGATGATTGTCAGATGTAACCAGGTGCTGTTGCAAATCAGTGGAAGAAAAGTGGATATGGGCAGTATAATTAAGTTGCAAAGTTATTGCTTCAGTTGGTCTCCCTTAGTTTCTTTTTAGGAAAGGCTGATAATTCAGATTTTCAAATACGGAGTCTTTCTCTTTGCCTTTTTCTCCCACCCCACCCCCACCTATTGAAATTGACATGTACATTGAAATCTATATTCATCTGACCACTGGCTATTCATTATGAGGTCTCAAGGAATGACTGACATCATAACCAGGTTTGACATTTCTTTTATTTCAGATTAAACACACACAAAACAGCCATCCCACTTGGGTAGCTCCTCATGTGCATGGATGCTTCATGTGTCCACAGAAGCATAAATATTTAAGAAAGGAGAAATGGGGGAATAACTGTGTAAGCACATCCCACTGTGGGACAGCTGTTGTTGACATGAATGAGGAAGCTGTGTGCAGGAGCAAAGAGTATGCATCAGAGCGTCTCTGATTACCACTATAGAATCTTTTTATAACTTGAGGGCATGACCCAATCCTGATAAAACTAGCTACTCACAAGGTACTTGATCACAACATGAAAGTTGTTTTTCTCTAATTAGAATCTATTGTTTTAGTTTTGCATTTTTCTTTGCATAATAAAGACTATAAAATTATATGTACATGTTTTTTTAATATACCACGTGACCAAAATATAAGAAAGCATAAGACAAACACATTCATTTGTACATGTGACCTTGCTGTAGATAACCATCTTTTTCAAAAAGAAGCCTTACCTAAAACGTGAAACACATCAAAGTTTGATTGAAGTCATGTTCCACCAGCATTCTCTCTTTCTGTGTTTTAAACTGAGGTACAGCTAGGGCTGGACCTTTGGACAAAATATCACAGCCAAGCCCCATCCACCTCTGGTCACCCAGAGAATGGCAGGTGATGGGGCAGAAAGAAGAGTCCTAGCATCAGCATCCCTACCAGCACAAGTTTTCTAATGATATTTCTTACAGCAGTATCCTTCCTTTCTATCGTTTTTGAATGTTGTGCTTCAGGGATGGTTGGCTGAGCCTGTACATGGCTACTATTCACATTTACTTACTTTTACTTTCAAAGTATACAGTGGTGCCTCGCTTAGCGACGTTAATCCGTTCCGGAAAAAACGTCGCTAAGCGATTTTTAAAAGCCCATAGAAATGCATTAAAACTTGTTTAATGCATTCCTATGGGCTTCCGAACTAACCGTAAGTGAAAATCCTCCAATGTGGCGGCCATTTTCGGTGCCTCTAAAGCGAGGCAACACAGCGGGTGGCCATTTTGTTTTCCAGCGGCCATTTTGAAGCCGCTGGTCAGCTGGCCGAAAATGGGGGCTTTGCAGTGATCGCTTCCCCGCGATCTTTACGAAGCGATTTCCCCTCCATAGGGGCCATTGCTAAGTGATCGCTCTGGCGATGGCCAAAACCCCATCGCTAAGCGATTTCATCGCTCAACAGAGCGATCAGTAAGCGAGGCACCATTGTATTATCATTCTCTACATCAAAATGGTGGTTATTCCCAGTGCCCTGGTTCAGTCAGTAGGGTTGCAGAAGCAAAGTTTATTCTTGTAGTCATAATGATGCTGTGATTGAAGAGAACTATATATGGAAAGATTGTATATTTTCTTAATCATGATTAGATAACAGTTTCTTTTCTTTTAACATATTAGGGATGTAGGAAAAGTTGTAGGATATGAAGTGGTTGTGTGAAAGAGGGGAGAGAGAGAGAGCACAGAGAGAACTGATAATTGCATACTTCATGGCTGAAGTACATGACTGTCTGAAGACTGAACTTGCCTAGCAGGTATATCCGTTGGTCTTATGTAAGCCACGGAGGAGAATTGTTGTATTCTACAGTTCCAGACTGAAATTGTTAATTTGGTGTCAAAGCACTACCCATATCAATTGTGTTAAACAGCTCTGGTTTGTGTATATGCTTATCGAGTGGTTGCTTTAATTTAATTTAATTTAAAAGCAGCATGGAGATGTTGTTGTGTTTCAGCACTTGGATTTGGTGTTGTCCTTAAATCATACCAAAGAATCTTTGAATATTCTCATAGCACAATAACACAATACTAAGTTAAAACAAGTAAGTGGCCTGCAGTCTAATTTATATAGCAGTAAGGTTAGTTTAGTTATTTTCATTGCATTCATACCGTATATTGTACTTGTGTATAGGAAGTATACAGAACTCTAGCAGTTTGTTATAAAAGAATACTGATTGCACAAACCTTAGTCTGAAGCAATACATACTGCAGTAGCCATAATCCATTATATTTTGTGAGGATGTTTTGCATCGTACAGATACATCTAAAATACAGGTTGCAATGTACTTTTTTGTTCTTAGTGTGTTTTGGGATCTCTACTGTGCAGCTCCAGAAAGACGTGAAACATGTGAACACTCGAGTGAAGCTAAAGCCTTTCATGACTATGTAAGTTTTATGCTTATTGACTAAATCTTGCCTGCTCACAGGTGTGCTACAATTCAATACCTTTTCCAGTGTTTGGGAGAGATTCTGGCTGCCAAGTTTTGTATGCTCTTGTGATAAATAAGACCAAGGGAATGAAGATTAAGCAGTGAAAGGGTTTGTTTTATGTAAATTAGTAAGGGTTCAGCCTTAAGAGACTTCAAGGCAACAGGGTCCCGGATAATGCCAGGGATGTCAGATCTTTCTAAATTGAATATGTGTGTCATTGCTAGAGAAGAATAAGGAGAATTTGTAAGTAAAGGAGGATAGTGTATACAGTATAGGGAAGGGCAAAGTTATCTAAGACTATGAAATGTTATCTTGCAATTATGCTGACTAGTGGGAGAAAATAGTTTGGAGAAAACCAAGTCAAAGGGCAGTATAAAGTATAAGAAAAACATCTATAGAAAGGTTCATAGCTTACCTATGCAAGTGTTTGGAAATGGATTGGCATTGCTAGCCAGGAATTTAAACATCAATTGTTTTGAAACAGGGAAAGCCATCCTTGCATAATTCCCTTGTATGTTACTGACAAGAAATTCTCAATAAATAATGTAATTTTCTGGCTTGTAAGAGCTGGTTTTCTTTGTTTCTTTTTCCTTCTCTCTCTCTCTCTTTGGTTAAGGTTCATGATGGTTAAAATACATTCTTAAAGAAAAAGATATTGATTGTGTGAATGTATGTTTAGTAAGTGTGGTTGCAAGCAAATTTTTTTAATCTAAGTGCTGGTGTTATTTCAAGTGCTTGGTTATGCATTTACAGCTGGGTGATTTGTTCTATAAAATAGCTGATTGATTGTATAAATTAAGAACAATTCACAGGACTATTTTTTCTGTGCCTTATATTCCCTGCAATTTTCTTCCCCCACCCGTGTTAGCTTCATAGTGCTGTCTTTTGAAGGTGTCTACTATGTAGTTGGCTCTCTGGAAGACAAGCATGTGTTTCATGAAGTGGTCATGCTCTTCCAGAATGCAGTTTTCTCCATTAATGGCATTTTGGGTCTAATGAGCTTTTTATATATTACGTGGGTTGCAGTTTTTGTTGGATTATGGACTTCAGCACTTGTTCTTTTAGTTTTAATTTTAAATACAAGTCAGCAAATTTAAAGCTATTGGGTTTGATAATTATAACTTGTCAGTCCTGTGGTATGCTCTATTCTCTTAACCTGTTTACATTTGTTACTTATTTGTTTCTTATTTGTTAGAGTATAATGGGCATGATGTAGCTAAACATATGCACCTTGAAAATATTTTCTATTTTAGGCATTTCTGGTCTTGTGTTAGCATGAAGAATGCCTTAAGAACTTAGCAATTTAAAGCAATGGAATTTAAAACACTTAAAGGAACTCTTGGATGGCTGCAAAGGCATCTCTCTGTTTTTTAACATGCTGGGGTTGGGGATAACCAGATGGCTTTATGGTCTGAATTCTAATCAGATAGTACAAATGTGTCACAAATGTATTGTTGTAAGAAAAGAAGCATATCTAGGACTGTCTTGGAAGCAAGAAGTCATATGAAAAACAAAAGCAACATGTGTTGTCTGTTAACATATTATGGAATAGAGTGCCCTAATCTGGACTCTTCCTCTGATGTAGAAAAACATATAGGAAATCTTTAAATTATAAATTGTTATGGGCTTCCCTATTCCACCCAGACAATTAATGTTTAACAAATGTTTTGAGTGGCAGGAAATTTTAGAAGGTTACCTTTTACATATTAATACAAAAGTCTAATTTCTGTTGCACCATCCCTAGGCAGTGAGAAGTTCAAGATAGCTTTACAGAGTGGGTTTTGTTTAAAGAAATAATATTTAATAGTGTTCTAGTTTGTGGTCTGCTTACGGGATACAGTTTCATAAAGTAAAGAGATGGAAATGTACTTTTTGAACTCCTAGTATCCCACAGTTAGCATGGCCACTACATTGTGGGATGAAGAAGCAATATATCTGTCCAAAGGTTTCAGCCATTTCTAAACATAGAACATATTTAATATCTCAAAGGATTAAAATGAATGTCTATATGTTTAAGTTATATTTCGATCAGGGCTAAAGATGAACATCTTCAGCGTTTTTTAAAATTAAACGAGACAACATAGCATAACAAAATTGGCAAGCTGTAGTTACATAGGATTCAGTATTACAATTTAAAATAAAGATTTGCGCACAGTATTTATGGATGAATTTACATTAAAAAGGGTTGAATTGCTATTGAAAAATCTATAGAACATTGTCAGTATAAACAAAGAAGTGAAATACATCTGTGTTGAAGTGTTATATACTGTATGTGTTAAATCTTTTTCCTACCAGAATTAACAAGATTCAAGTATTGGGACCTAAAGTTTAGAGTTTACTTATAGATCATGTTCACATGAAATAGTAAATCTGGAGTCACGGAAAACGAGACTTACCATAAATAGGCACTGCACTTGTGTATGTTGCTTGATCATTCCACTTAAACTTTTGCTGTGTGGTTTGTTTATTGTATCATGACAAACCAAGTGGAGCTGTCACTCTGTTTTAATTTGGATTGAATTCATGGTTTGTTCTATGTTTTGTTCTGCTTTGTTGAGGGAGTCATAAACCAGAGAGGCAGTTTTGCACTGGATTCACATAAGAGGATGAACCATGTACAAAAGTCTGTGATTTGTTTAGCTGCTGCCACACCAAGTGGGAGTGATCAAACATGCTGCTTTTGCAAGTCAGGATGCCAGTAGATCCTAGGGTTGTCCTCTCACATTGACCCACCATTCAGTCTTCATGTACTCATGATGGTAATTTGTCTAGAAGGTAAACTTTTTCAATAATAATAATGCTACAAATGACTGTGTTAGCCTGTTGCAACCAGCTTATATCTGCGAGCTGATGTGTCATTTTATCTAGTATGTTCTCTTTCTTATTTAAATATGCAGGTCCCGTCGTGTATTTGGGTACATTTATTTTCCCAACCTGCATATCCAGTATGCAGTACTTGTCTGTGCACCTGATACTTAATTCTGTGTTCACCCTGTTCATTTCTTCGCATTATATGAAGGTGAAAGTCCTGAGTAATTATATCTCCTACCACATTTAAGTTATGATATAATGGTTTTAATCATAGGAAATTAAAAATCTGTATCTGCTTAGAAATAAACATAAACATATAGCAAAATATGAGTATATTACACAAAATGAAGTCAGTGCTTTTTTGAAAGCAAGATGCATCCTTCTGCAAGTTGTGTTTATATATATTTATAGTCTGAATGAAACATGAACCAATTCTTATTAGCATGTCTTTCATTACTATGCATTTCCCTGGCTTACGAAGGCTGTGCACTGGAACTTGGAGTTCTGTTACTTCAGCAGGGATGTAGCCCTATGTGGAAGATTTCACTCCTTCCTAATTCTTATATATACCTGCAAGTGCTGCATATTACTTCCTCTCCCTGAGTTCAGTGAAGTCCTCTGTCTTCTCTTACATTCAGCAGCCAGGAAGAATGTGAAAGGAAGTAAAAAAGATCCCTGGGTCTCAAAATTCCTTTCTTTTAAGTGAATGTTTGCACGAACCATGTCTTGGTTAGTATATCTGAAAGTTCTAGTTTTAAAAGATCCTGTAATTCCCTCTGATTTCAATAGCTATGAGGGAATTTTCTAAAACAATAATACTGTATACGTGTCAACATTTCAGTTTCCCTTGCAAGAAAAGCAATCTTTAATTTTTTCCACATTTATCTAGAATATTCTAGAATATGTATCTAGAATATAGTACTGTGCACATCAGGGGCATTTGATTTCTGATTATCCACTGCAAAAACTTCTTCTTTTGACACTGTACCTTAGTTTTTAATCCTGACCTGCCATGTGTTTAGATTCATTGTCTCTAAGTGTGTTAGAATCAACATATTTATTCCATTGTATTAGATGAAGCATGGAATTAATCCTGTATTCATTTCCAGTTGCTTGGTTTCGAAATATACTCTTCTGGGACCTAAAAATGTTGTCAGTACTCCTTGTTCTAATTATTCAGCAGTTCTCTGTTTAATATTGTTCATGTATTTTGAATTGCACCAGCTATCTTTCTGTCTTCTGAAATAACAGAAAGAGTTTTCACATTAGTATCAAATATAAAAGTGTTTTCATTTGCCACTGTAGTACTTGATTGCTAGGGAAGGCACTTTAATGGGGGGATTGTGTTCCTCGTCTTTTTAAATGTGCTTCCAAGTTGTTCTAAATGCTCTTGATTTGGGGGTTTATTTTACAATGTGTTGTTTGTTTAAAATAATAATTTATTTCATTTTAAACAATTTTAGTATCTTAATTTTTTAATGATTTGTAAGCCACCTTAGGTCTCTTTGTTGGGAGAAGGGGTATGTGTCAAATCAATCAGTCAGTAAATGTCGGAGGGCACAGGGAGTTACACATTGATGCCACACAGCTGGTTTAGTGCCAATTATCTGTTTGGGAGGAGAGGCCAAGAGTTTTTAGCTCAATCAGCCCACATTTCCTTTTGTGAAACCTGTGCTGGTTATAAACTCTGTGGATATAAAGATCTAATCCACCTGTGATCCCTATGCAGCTGTGTTTAGTACTGCAAACTTCATTCTTAAATTGGAAGCTTAATATAACAAGAGTTATTATTTGAGTTTAGCCTTTTATTTTTTATGTGTGCTCTTCCCCCAGTGTTGTGCATGCTGTTCTGAAGGTGTGTACATTTTTTCTTGTTTTTATCATGTTTGTTCTACTGCATGTATGTCTAGGAGACTGAAAGGCTATTTGTCAATAATATAGACCGGTATGTAAAACGTTGAATCTACTGGGGATCTAAGTAATAGTTGTTATTTTCTAAATGAAATATTTTTCTTTACACAATGATGCTGACAGGAGCATAACTGGGTGTGTCAATCTGGGGTTTATTGCCCAAAAATGCTCCTAAATAATCTCTGATGATGACTGAAGTTATGTATGCTGGCATTACATCAGAAAAGAGAAGA